TCTTTTTACACCAAATGTAGGTGGTGGTGGCTAAAGGGCCTTTCCTAGAAGTGATGAGCTTGGCTTACTATTCCCAAGTTCGGGTGTGTCCTTACAGATTCAAGGACCTTTATGTTAAAGAGTTTCCTTAAGTTCAATGTACTAGATAGTAGTTTCTTTTGTATTGTAAGGGTTGTGTCCCTCTTGTGTTGTAATCGTATTTTAAGATGGCTACCTTGAGAGGTAGTACTTCGATTTTTGTATTATAGGTTTAAACGAGGTGACATTTAAGTCTTGTGTTATATTATGAAAATGTTTTAAATTTTCCGCTATTTTTCTATGATAAATGCTATGACGAATGCTAAGGGCTTGTATAAGACCTCCGAGAGGTCGAATACACCGATAACGGCTAGGGGGTGCTCTCGGGTCGTTACAGTACGACAATGATCATAGTATTTTGTCCAAAACAACGAAAAAACCTTCGAGTCCATGATTAATCCATTAAAAATAATGTTGAAAAAATAATTTTACTTAATCAAATCCTTTTAAGTCCACTCTCTATCATGAAAATATAATGCTTTCATAACCTTCAGAGTCATTATCTCTATCGTTGCCACGCTGATCTGTTACTGGACCGCGGTCCAAGGTTGACATTAACATGACTTCATCTTGTTTGTCATCTAGATGAATATCTAGTAAATTAGACTCCAAGTATATCTACTCTTTTGTCATCTTGATGAATATATATAATAGGAGGCTCCTAGCGTTGACGTACTCATTACATCTGAAAAAGCCTTCTGAAAAATACGTCACTTGCTATGCTATTGATGTCACATTTGTTTGTGAAGTTGCGTAATTGGGTTCGAGGAGAGAAATATAGCTATGTCCCAATGGGAAAGATATTGTTGTAGACAGTAAGAACAGGGAGTATTAGGTTGATGTGCTTATCCAACATCGTTATGTTACATCAATAGTATAGCAGGTGGCGTATTTTTCAAAAGGCTATCGAGATGTAATAAGTAGATCAAGGCTTGGAGCCTTCTATTATATATATATTCATATATATGACAAAATAGGACAAATACCTAATCATAATTTACTAGATATTCATCTATATGACAAACAAGAAGAATCCATGTTAATGTCAAACTTGAACTACGGTCCAATAACAGATCAATGTGGAAATGATAGAGATAGTGACTCTGAAGTTTGTGAAAGCGTTAGATATTCAGGATAGAGAGTGGACTAAAAGGACGTGATCAAGGAATATTCTTGTTTCAATAATATTTTTAATGGTCTGATCATGGACTCAAAGGTTCTTCCACTCTCTTGGACCAAATATTATGATCTTTGTGTACTTGCAAGCTTTCCCTTCTGATTATTTTCCTTTCCCAAGTGTGTATTCCTATCATAACCCGAGCCTACACCCCAAACGTGACACGGCATACAAGGCTCCAAAAAGCCTTATACAAGCCTCATAGCATATCATAATATAAGACATAAGAAAATGGTACGAAATTTAAAACTTTTATCCATACAATCAAAGTCTTTATTTAAAAAAACAACGAAAGTCTAGCTTTGTCTCACATGGCCATCTCATACAACTTTATATCAATAATAGGGTCATAGCCCTTCAACATAGTCCAAAACATGAAATGGCATGAAAGAAACTACTAAAGACTCATAGGTCCTCGAAACTAGAGGACTCACCAAAGCTAGGAGAATAGTCAATCCAAGTTCTAATCCGAAGAAATCACCTTAAGATCTGGAACCTACACTTTGTAAAAATGTAGAAGAAATATGGGTTAGCACAAAAATGAACTAAGTATGATAGCCATGAAAAAATCATGCTAAAAAGGACATTTTGGTTGAAAACCATGCAGTTAATAGGTTTGAGAATCATCGCGAACTTTTAGTATAAACACATAAGACATAAGCATATTCATCATGTAAGTCATTATAAAACATTAGAACCATCATCTTAAGTAACCCTAAGGTGTACTTGTGCAATACATGAATGGCATCCTATAATACCATTCATACTAAGTACCACTTTGAGGCCACCATAACATACTTACCATTCTTCATTCTCATATTTAGTTAATACTCATGGATAAGGAACATTCTCATTTAATAAGTCATGACAAGTAAAGCAACTCATAATAACAATACAAATTAAGCATTCATGTTTACATTAATCCTTTAAGTCAACATTCTCATTAGCATCATTATGAGCACATTCATTTTGTTAGACATTATGACATTCGAGAAACACACCATAACCACTCTCAAACCCTACTCGTGCAATGCATGAATGTCATCCCATACTACCACCCACACTTCATAGAACCTCTTGAGTAACCATAGCACATAACTCACATGATGAGAATAATCCCTAACCGACATAGACCATATGAGAAAATCATGGAATCCGGTTTCTCCCACACCGTAAGGGTTGGTCTACTTGCCTAAGGTAGAACCGGTAATTTAGCTTGGGTAGATCCACTGGCTATAACCTATTTGGGCACATAGTTATGGGATAAGGAAGGTGTTAATAGAAACCTGGACTAACATGGGGAGAGCTTCCACCTTACAATATCCACTATCTGGAAAACATTAAATTCCCATAGAGTAGTTCATTCTCTTTTTAACATTATGTTACATGAAAGGGATATGAAATTGGCCTACCGACCCAAGGTATATTATTAGACACATGAAAGGGCTACTGATTCAAGGTACATTATAAGGATAGATCATTGAATTCTAAAGAAAGGGCTACCATTAGGTCTACCGATTCATGGTTCATCATTATCGTAGTTCATAGACTCATCATGAAAGAGCTACCATTGGTCTACCGATTCAAGACATAGCCTAGAATACTTCATTAATAATTTATGAAAGGGATGCCATTGGCATACCAATTCGAGATTCATTAAGTCAAGATACTTTTAGTTACACAAGAAGAGGATGCCCTAAGCCTACTAAATCAAGGCAACTTAGACATTGAGAAAACCTTCCCAACATGTAGTCATCATTTACAAGTGTATCATTGAGGATAACCTTTCAATCAACACAACAATATTACCATAGTAACAAATATTTCATGCATAGTCATATGTAAGGGTATGGGGAGAGTGATCTTTCAACAATACCACAATTACACCACAGTAATAGGATATTCACTTAAATGAATCATAAACACATACACAATTCTCATAAACATGTACAAACCCTCATAATTTGTCTTTCAAGGACCATGAATCACTTTAAACCCAAAAATCTAGAATTTCTACACTAGATAAGAAGAATATCATGATTCAATAAACTCAATCAGACATAATCTATTCACATGCTTCAATAATCAATCAACCCGCATTATGAAGGCACTATTTAGTAATATAGGGGATTCATGGGTTCTTGGGGGAATTTCATCATAAATAAACAATTAATCATCAATTCAATCATATTACATCATAAACCAACCACTGAAAACGTTTAAGGAAGGAACCCGTGACTTAGAGTGAAATTTAAATTTTTGAAATCTAGTTTTGAAGGGACTCTATGGGTGAAATCTACCAATAGATGAAAATCTACCATAACTTAATAGAGTTTTCCCACTAATTTGAGAAGAAACACCTTGATTTCTTAAGCCCTAGCTTTCCACTTCTTCTTATTCATCATCTTTGGAAACTCTAGAGAGAGAAATTTTGGAGAGGATGAACTCTTTTGGGTTTTTGGGAATAATGAAGTAAATGGGTTTGTTTATGACTTAAAATCATTTATATATGTGAAATAAAACAATATAAATCAATTCCATTAAATAACTAACTAATTTGGAATTTACCAAAAGACTCTCGACTACGCATCCCTTTCCCAAGGACTACGCCCAATTTCACGACCAGTCAAGGGCACCACGGCTTGTGGTGGTGCCCATGGTCCCTTGACTAGTGACCTCCCCTAACTTGACAAACCCCCAAGAAGCTAATGCAACCCCATGAGCCTCCCCACAGTTCGTGGTCCTCACAACGAGTCGTGAAGTGGCTCGTGAAGGGGAGCCTTTGCTTGGGCAGTTTCATGTAGCTATTGCCTCACCTACCACGGGTGGAACCACGATTCGTGGTGTCCACCACGGGTCGTGAAGACCCTCGTGGTGTCCACCACGGGTCTTGAAGACCCTCGTGGTCAGGGTGGGCAATGTCTAGGCATGTTTTAGGCAGCCTTGGCCCCCTAGCCATGGCCCTCACCCAAAACCATGGCCCTTACCCTTAACCCTTGACATTAACTCTCACGTTTAGGCTCTAGGTTAACCTATTAATTTCTGAGGTGTTACAATATCTCCCCCTTGGGAATATTCGTCCTCAAATGATTATTTAGACACTTTACGGAATTAAAGACTCAAGACTGGAAGCCCATCATGCATGACACGTCAAATAATTCATAAATCATAGGAGGAAACATCAACTCCTTCTCAACATATTCAATGCAACATAAGGAAGTAGGAACTACATCTAACCACCCATTATTCATGAAAACTTCAGCACTTCACAAACTCATTAGAGGAACTACCTACTCCAACCCAAAGCATGCTCAGCATAACATCATGAAGCAAATTATGCAATTACTCTCGAAGCACATTTAAGCATGTTCAACAATTCATCTCATGAAGCATATAGGCAACTCATACTAAATGCACATCAACTTAAGGAACATAAATCATAAAAACTCATTTTCTCATTAAACATGAATTCATCAAGAACATGCATATCATAAGGAAATCATGGAAACACATAAATCACACATATCTCCAAAACAGAAAACAAGCCACAAGGAAATCTTGGTCTCAAGCTTGAATAGGAATAGAATAAAGAGATAAGGATATCAAAACTCTTAGCAATTTTGCTTTCTAATAATACCATCTTCCCCTTGGGAGCAAACCCCCTACTAAGGCTAACATGAAAATCTAACAATTTGCATAGGGATCTTAATAAAGCATTTCCATCTATAAGGAATTATCAAAATACTGGTTTCTTCATCCGGAAGGTCTCCTCTGTCTTCTGTAAACCGGAGTGCATAGAAACGACCGTGATTTGGAGGAATGGGAAATGTGCCATTAAGGGAAGCTTGTTTCGCCTCCTTTCCTTTGCCCGTGAGTGTAGGGAAATCTTTCACTTGATGATCACTCTTTCCACAAACATAACACCCATTTGTACCGGCTAGGCACTTCCCATGGTGCTTCTTTCCATAATTGGTGCAAGTAGGTTTAGGAAATTGAGACCCACTACCTTTCTCTTGGTTAACCCTAGGAGTGTTTGAAGAATCTTGGTTGGAAGATCTCTTTTTGAACCTTGGTTGACCTTGTTCATTGGACCTAGCTTTTTTCATCTTTCTATTCTTCTTCTTAATCTTTGACTCCTCTATTTGTTGGGAAAACACCATAAGCCTAGAGATATTCATGTCATCATGGACCATTGTCGTATGACATTCTTCCTCAACTATGTTGTACACGCCTATCACAAATCTACTCATCTCATCCCTCGGCTCTGCCACTATAGATGGAGCATACTTGGAGAGTTAGGTACATTTCAAAGCATAGTCTTGGACACTCATGCTACCTTACCTAATATTTATGAATTCCTCCACCTTGGCCTCCCTCAACTCACGGGGAAAGAACCTATCAATGAATGTTTTATTAAACACCTCCCAATCAATGGGACCTGCTACTACCAGCCTATTTTTCTTCCATTGAGTAAACCAAACTTGAGCTACATCCTTCAATTGGTAAGCGGCTAGTTCCACTTTTTCTACCAAAGTCACCCCCATAGCATCAACTACCTTATATACCTCATCCACAATTTCCTTGGGATCCTCTCTTACCTTGGAACCAAGAAACACGGGAGGATTCATTCTAACAAAATCCCTCAACCTAGAAGAAGTCGTAGTGCTCACATTACGGTTCACATGAGTCCTACCATCCCTATTTGCTTGGGCCGTCATAACTTGGGCTTTATTTGTTACGGCTTGAGCCATCATTAGAAGAGCCGACCTAACTTCCTCATCTGACATAGCCAGAGGATTAACCAGAGCTTTATTGACTTAAGGAGCTTGATTACCTTGAGGAGTTTGATCCTCTAGAGGATCTTCTTCATTGACATTTATGCCCTCCATTCTCCTTGCGCTTGCCCTTTGTGTATTCATATTCTGAAGACACAAAAATAGGATTAGGAGATGGACTTTGTAGAGTTAAACTCTATGGCACGACTTAAGAATATTGAAAGAAGTGTAGTTTCCTAACATCTTATAGCCTCTCATTCACAAATGTGGCGCACTTCACACTATGAAAAAGACTATACTAGATGTGGCTTATGAGACATCATCCTAAAACCATCCCAAAAATCGTATGCTTTGATACCATGTTTGTCACGACTCGAGCCTACACCCCGGACGTGACACGGCGTACAATACTCTGAAAAGCCTCATATCATATCATAACATAAGACATAAGAAAATGGTGCGAAATTTAAAATGTTTATTCATACAATCGAAGTCTTTATTTAAAAAACAGTGAATGTCTAACTTTATCTCACATGGCCATCTAATACAAGTTTGAATCAATAATAGGGTCGCATCCCTTCAACATAGTCTGTAACATAAAATGACATGAGAGAAACTAATAAAGACTCATATGTCCTCGAATCTTGAAGACTCACCAAAGCTAGGAGAATAGTCAATCCAAGTTCTAATCCAAAGAAATCACCTTCAGATCCTGAATCTACACTTTGTAAAAATGTATAAGAAATATGGGTTAGCACAAAAATGCACTAAGTATAAACACATAAGGCATAAGCATATTCATCATATAAGTCATTATAAAACATTAGAACCATCATCTTAAGTAACCCAAAGTTATACTTGTGTAATGTAGGATTCGCATCCCATAATACCACTCATACTAAGTACCACTTTGAGGCCACCATAACATACTTACCATTTTTCATTTTCATCTTTAGTTAATACTCATGGATAAGGAACATTCTCATTTAATAAGTCATGACAAGGAAAACAACTCATAATAACAGTCCAAGTTAAGCATTGATCTTTACATTAAGCATTTAAGTCAACATTCTCATTAGCATCACTATGAGAACATTCATTTCATTAGACATTATGACATTTGAGAAACACACCATAACCACTCTAAAAGCCTACTCGAGCAATGCATGAATTCCATCCCATACTACCACCCACACTTCATAAAACCTCTTGAGTAACCATAGTACATAATTCACATGATGGGAATAAGCCCTAAACGACATAGACTATGTGAGCAAATCATGGAAGCCGGTGTCTCCCACACTGTAAGGGTTGGTCTACTTGCCTAAGGTAGATCCACTAATTTAGCTTACGTTGATCCACTAGTAATAACCGATGTGGGCACATAGTTATGGGATAAGAAAGGTGTTAATAGAAATCCAGTCTAACATGGGAAGAGCTTCCACCTTACAATATCCACTCGGTACTAAGCATTAAATTCCTAAAGAGTAGTTCATTCTCCTTTTAACATTATGATACATGAGAGGGATTCCATTGGCCTACCGATCCAAGGTACATTATTATACACATGAAGGGCTACCATTAGGTCTACCGATTCAAGGTACATTATAACGATATCTCATTAAATTCTTATGAAAGGGCTCCCATTAGGTTTATCGATTAAAGGTTTATCATTATAGTACTTCATAGATTCATCATGAAAGGGCTACCATTGGTCTACCGATTCAAGACATAGCGTATAATACTTCATTAATCATTTATGAAAGAGATGCCATTGGCTTACCGATTCAAGATTCATTAAGTCAAGATACTTTTAGTTACACAAAAAGAGGATGCCCTAAGCCTACCAATTCAAGATAACTTATATATTGAGAAAATATTCACAACATGTAATCACCATTGACAAGTGTATCATTGACGATAGCCCTTCAATCAACACAACAAGATTACCATAGTCACAGATATTTCATGCATATCATATTTAAGGGTATGGGGAGAATGATCTTTCAACAATACCACAATTACACCATAGTCATACTAACTTCACTTAAATGAATCATAAATACATACACAATTCTCATAAACATGTACAATCCCACATATTTTGTCCTTCAAGGACCATGAATCGCATTCAACCCAAACATCTACAATTTCTACATTAGATAAGAAGATTGTCATCATTCAATAAACTCAATCAATAGAGACATAATCCATTCGCATTCTTCTGTAATCAATCAACCCACATCATGAAGTCACTATTTAGTAATTTAGGGGATTCATGGGTTCTTGGGGGAATTTCATCATAAATCAATAATTAATCATTAATTCAATCATATTCCATCATAAACCAACCATTGAAAAAATTTAAGGAAGGAACCCATGACTTAGAGTGAAACCCTAGCTTTCTCGGGAAATTGAAAGCTTTGAAATCTAGTTTTGAAGAGACTCTATGGGTGAAATCTAACCATAAATGAAAAGGTACCATACCTTAATCGAGTTTTCTCACTTTTATGAGAAGAAACACCTTGATTCCTTAAGTCATAGCTTCCATTTCTTCTTCTTCTTCTTTGAAAACTCAAGAGAGAGAAATTTTGGACAAGATGAACTCCTTTGGGTTTTTGGGAATAATGAAGTAAATGGGGTAGTTTATGACTTAAAATCATTTATATATGTGAAATAAAACAATATAATCGATCACATTAAATAACTAACTAATTTGGAATTTACCAAAAGACTCTCGACTAGGCAGCCCCTTCCCAGGGACTACGCCCACCTTCACGACCCGTCAAGGGCACCACGGCTCGTGGTGGTGCCCGTGGTCCCTTGACCAGTGAACTCCCCCAACTTGACCAGCCCCCAAGAAGCTAAGGAAACCCCACGAGCCATCCCACGGTCTATGGTGCTCACCACAAGTCATGAAGTGGCTCGTGACGGGGAGCCTTTGCTTGGGCAGTTTCATGTAGGTACTGCCAGACCTACCACGGGTGGCACCACGACTCGTGGTGGCCTGCACGGGTCGTGAAGACCCTGTTGGTCATGGTGGGCAGTGGCTAGGCATGTTTTAGGCAGCCTTGGCCCCCTAGACATTATCCTCACCCAAAAACCTTAGTGCTTACCCTTAACCCTTGACGTTAACCATCACGTTTAGAATCTAGGTTAACCTACTAAATTTTGAGGTGTTACAATTCTCATAACTGTAAAAGAAGCACAGTTTTAGATTTCAGCCCTCCATAACCAAAAGAGAGAGGCTTTTGGAGTTTGAGAGTTGGACTGTGTTTGATATTCAAAAAAGAAAGAGATATATCTCGTGATGTTTTGACCAAAATCTTTGTGTACGCAACAACTATCAGGTCCTCCATGTGTCCTTCTTTCCTTTCAGGCATCTCCTCCTTGATGTTATTCCTTGAGTGTGGAATTTTGGTCTCTTACTTGTCACATTCAAAGAACCCATCATATTATACATCAACCATGAATTGCCCTTGTACATAACAAACATCTTCGGTTCCTGATACACTCAAAATTACACCCTAAGATGATCTCACTACAACAAATTTGGCCTAAGGTCACACTAACTCTAGACAACGCTTAAAAAAGTATTGCCAAAAATATCTAACGGAACGCTTTCAAGGCGTGACTTTTGTGTAGGATTTTTGGTCACGAAAACATTGGCAACACTTTTAAAGTGTGCTCTTTGTAACTATAGGCTACACATTATAAACGTTGACAAATCATAAAATAATTGACAATGCTTATTTATATATATGACCACACTTTTAAGTGTGCTATATTTGAAACTCTAGAAACAATACTTTACATGTGTGCCCTATTATAATTTTAGCTGAAAAAATATATTTTTCCCCAGATTTCTAAAAAGCAAGAGTGCACTAAATTTCATTCTAACGTTTTTTCTTTCATTCTTACGGGTTTCTCATTGTAAAACACTCAACTATTCAGCAATTTTCATCGCACATCTTAAGAATTTCTTCAATGAAATCACTTCTTTTGCTTTGTCTATTTCTCCAAGGATGAATTTCGGTTTGTCGACTTCGAATTGTATACTTTTGGTTTGTCGATTTGGGCACATACGTTTGAAAGAGTAGAAGAAGAAGCAGACGACATTTCAAAGTGTTCATTTTGCAGGATTTTGAGGATTCTAGGGAAATTGGCAGCACCACTTCTGCAGAGCCATGGGTAGTATTTGTTTCAAAGTGTTCCTCGGAAAAAGGTATTTTTTGTGTGCATTTTTCTGGGTTTCATCTTCTCTATTATTCTAATTTTCCATTTTTGTGTGTCTTCTTAGTAATTTAATTTTATAATTTTCTTTTAATATGAGCGCTTAAATTGTTGTCTTGTGTTACTATTAGCTTCACAAAGTACTATGAACATAGAAATTTATCTATTTACATACTGATTTGATT